CCGTTCCACCACATCCCAAAGATGCTCTATTGGGTTGAGATCTGGTGACTGTGGAGGCCATTTTAGTACAGTGAACTCATTGTCATGTTCAAGAAACCAATTTAAAATGATTAGAGCTTTGTGACATGGTGGAAGTAGCCATCAGAGGATGGGTACATGGTGGCCATAAAGGGATGGACATGGTCAGAAACAATGCTCAGGTAGGCCGTGGCATTTAAACGATGCCCAATTGGCACTAAGGGGCCTAAAGTGTGCCAGGAAAACATCCCCCACACCATTACACCACCACCACCAGCCTGCACAGTGGTAACAAGGCATGATGGTTCCATGTTCTCATTCTGTTTACGCCAAATTCTGACTCTAACATCTGAATGTCTCAACAGGAATCGAGACTCATCAGACCAGGCAACATTTTTCCAGTCTTCAACTGTTCAATTTTGGTGAGCTCTTGCAAATTGTAGCCTCTTTTTCCTATTTGTAGTGGAGATGAGTGGTACCCGGTGGAGTCTTCTGCTGTTGTAGCCCATCCGCCTCAAGGTTGTGCGTGTTGTGACTTCACAAATGCTTTGCTGCATACCTCGGTTGTAACGAGTGGTTATTTCAGTCACTGTTGCCCTTCTATCAGCTCGAACCAGTCTGGCCATTCTCCTCTGACCTCTGGCATCAACAAGGCATTTCCGCCCACAGAACTGCCGCTCACTGGATGTTTTTTCTTTTTCGGACCATTCTCTGTAAACCCTAGAGATGGTTGTGCGTGAAAATCCCAGTAGATTAGCAGTTTCTGAAATACTCAGACCAGCCCTTCTGGCACCAACAATCATGCCACGTTCAAAGTCACTCAAATCAACTTTCTTCCCCATACTGATGCTCGGTTTGAACTGCAGGAGATTGTCTTGACCATGTCTACATGCCTAAATGCACTGAGTTGCCGCCATGTGATTGGCTGCTTAGAAATTAAGTGTTAACGAGCAGTTGGACAGGTGTACCTAATAAAGTGGCCGGTGAGTGTATATATATATATATATATATATATATATATATATATATAAAGCCGGTGGCACCGCCACCCTGGTGCCTTTAGGGTTATTGTGCACGACGTGACACAAAATATCTGCTTGCTATCTGCCGAACGGCTCTGGTAGTTTCGCTTCAGCACTGATGATGTTGTAGAAATAGTGCGCTCTGGTTGGTCTGGATTATTCGGGATTTTTTATTTTATACAGAAATAAATTCTTTATAATTCAGATGAGAATAAAGTTAGTGTTGATTAAAATGAAGGAAAACAAATATATTGATCTGAAATATAGCACATTAATTTAAAATTTATTTAGGTTCAATTACCAAACATACAATCTTAATTTAATTTAAAGCAAACAATACATTTAAAATATATGGGTTGTATGCACATTTTTTTTAATAAAAAAAAATATATATCCAAAAAGACAAGGCCTTAAAGGGTTAAACTCTTGTCACTGTAACAGACACATCTCTCTCTCTCACACACACACACACACACACACACACACACACACACGTCAAGTCACTTACATTTTTAGATGCAATATTGAATAAGCAGAAAAATCGGATTTTCTGCTCTGAAAATATAAATAAGCAAAAAAATTGAATAAGCACTTTGAATATTCTAAACAGAATAAGCACTAGTCGCTAATGAATAAGTACTAGTACTTAATGGAATAGATACTAGTATCTAAAAAATAAGTACTAGTAGCATGAAAATAGAGACTAGTAGGTTAAAATGATTAAATGTTAAAACGGCTTGCCATATTGGTTCAGAGAGAGAGAAAGAGAAAATGACCTTTTAGATACTAGTACCTATTAATAGATACTAGTATTTATTCAATAAATACTAGTACTAAGTCATTAGATACTAGTACCTATTAAATAGATACCAGTACTTATTCATTAGCTACTAATACGTATTCAAAAGAATATCTAAAGAATAAGCACTAGTATCTAAAGAATAGGCACTAGTACTAAAGAATAAGCACTAGTCGCTAATGAATAAGTACCAGTACTTAATGGAATAGATACTAGTATCTAAAAATAAGTACTAGTAGCATGAAAATAGAGACTAGTAGGTTAAAATGATTAAATGTTATAGCGGCTTGCCATATTGGCTCAGAGAGAGAGAGAGAGAAAATGACCCTATTCAAACCACAATATCTGACTTTCTGAGGGTCGGAGCTAATTACTTTAAATTAGAAAGTTGTTTGGCTTGAGGAGAAGAATATACACGCTGAGTTTTGTAACTGTAGATAAAACTAACCCCCCCACTTTTGTCAAAAGCATTTAGAAAGTGACACACTTCCTGCTGCCAGTTGGTGGCGCTATAACTTTGACTCACAATAGTCACATCCATGTGATCGGCCTCTTACAGCGAACATACTGTTGAAGTTTCATCAAGATCAGTTAATGTATGCAGAAGTTATAACACACTTCCTGTTTCCATTATTCGCCATAAATTTGTTTCCTCGCCACGGCCAAACCGTTCGAGATATGAAAAATCCCCTGGCAATTTTTCATCCTCAATGTCTTGACATCATGCTGACCGAGTTTCCTTGCGATTGGTTGAATTCTCTAGGAGGAGTATATCGAATTCCAGGGGCATACGCTTCCAAACAAACCATAATAGCCGACTTCCTGTTGGGCTGGGGTAAAAAGTAAAAGTACAAAGGATATATGAACCGATGAGATCTATATGTGTACCGAGTTTCATATTATTACATGGAAGCGTGTTTGATTTATGGACCAAGTTTTCGGACCCCGTTCCAGGGGGCGCTGTCGAGCCCCCCTGCCACGCCCGGGTACCAGCTTCAGCCCGGCCCTGATGGCCGCGGGTTCTGACCAGTGTGCAAAGTTTCAAGAGTTTTCGTGCACGTTAAGAGCCCCAAAAGTGCCCGAATAGTCGATAAAATAATAATAATAATAATAATAATAATAATCCTAAGGAAAACAATAGGGCCTTCGCCTTTTCAAGGCTTGGGCCCTAATAATAATAATAATAATAATAATAATAATCCTAAGGAAAACAATAGGGCCTTCGCCTTTTCAAGGCTTGGGCCCTAATAATAATAATCCTAAGGAAAACAATAGGGCCTTCGCCTTTTCAAGGCTTGGGCCCTAATAATAATAAATAATCCTTAGGAAAACAATAGGGCCTTCGCCTTTTCAAGGCTTGGGCCCTAAAAATACTCTATAATTTCTGGTCATACAGAAAAGAATAATACATCATTCGCAACTACTTTTATTTGTCCAAACTCACATAACAAGAAAACGTTGTGCTTTTGTAAAATAAAATAAAACAATCAGTCGCGCTTTCATGATCTCCGTGAACTGGAGCGCGTCTCATAAATTAACTGAAACAAAATATACCCTAAAGCTTGAAATGTTCACTTTTAAACGAACAATTAAAATGCCTCGTTATTTATTATCATTAGCCTATAAATCATGGTTCCAGAGACATGGCTCTTCTCATTCAGCATTGCGGGAAAAATATAATTTCCAGGTTAATCTGGCCTTAGAAAACCAGTAAAATCGACATTTGTCCCATAGTAATTTGTGAATATTTTAAATGTTTAATAAAGGGGCAAAAAGTCTTCTTTTTTTTTTTTTTGCACAGCATTTGTGTAGCCTACAGTTGTTCAACTTTGGCTTTTAAAAATACAACAACCTTTCATTTTTAGTTTTTCAATTACGGGTTAAAAAAAAGAAAAACAAATGGACGCAAAAGTAGGCTACCTTATATTATTAAATATTTAAAATAATGTATTTGTAGAAAGGTTTGATAGTCAATCAAAATACTAGTAAAATCAAAGACTTTAATCTAAAAAACTATCACTAAACTATCTTTAGTTTAATAGTCTGTGTAAATTTGCATCCATTCGTTTTTAATTTTTTAACCCGTAATTGAAAAACGAAAAATGAACGGTTTTAAAAGGCATAGTTGAACACCAACATTTGAATTTGAACTGTAGGCTACACACCAAATGCTGCACCAAAAATGCTGTCGTCACCGGCGCGCAATGAATTATGGGGTAGGATCAGGGTAGGATAGGCCGCTAAGTGTCCATTTATGTATCCTTCCTTTCACGGGGAAACGAAGGGTGCATTTGGCGTCGCTTTTGAATCAGGGTAGCCTTCGTCGCGCCGCGATGACGCAACCGGCCTTCGAATACGGCCTTCGAAGGATGCGGAATTGAATTGGGACAGCCTTCATCGCGCCGCGGTGACGCAATCGGCCTTCAAATGCGTCCTTCGAAGATGCAGCCTTTGAATTGGGACAGCCTTCGTCGCGCCGCTGTGACGCAATCGGCCTTCAAATGCGGCCTTCACATTGGGACACAGCTATGGAGTAGTGAATCCCAGTGGCGCAACGAGATAAGTGACAGGCATCTGATCCAGAGATAGTGGGTGTCGAGTACTTTAGAAAAATTGTATGGAATATTGTGTCATTTTGATTTCTTTATTATTGAAGCGTTGTACTAATCTTTCTCTTGGATTAGAAATAAGTATGTTTTTGTTCATTCTGTGGTCATTCTCATCGGAACTTGAATTTATTGATTAAATGTAAGAATTTTACATAAAATATGATGCATGTATCTAATAAGGTTAGACAAACCCTTATAAAAGGTAAAAATGCCCTTGAAATAGTTGTTCTATCACTACTGCACTACTATATTCATATCACTACTGTGAATATTAAGAATATGAAAAGCTTCGGGAGTCGGCTGTCCACGACAGGCCTAAACCAGCCAAGGTACAAAAAACACACAGCATAAAAAATCAACTAATGTTTTTTTTGGTCAATATCACAAACCCCCTAGTGTAACACTACTAATCAAAGATCATCAGCTTGAATATCATGCTGGGAATACAGCTCTTTAACAGACAGAGAACACACTAACTATAGATAACAAGCCTATTCCCAGTGCCATTCTCTGATTGTGGTTAATGTGCAGATGGCAGTTTCAGAGACTCACTTAAAAGGTGCTTCTCCTGCTCAGTGTGGTCGGAGGTGTCCGTGTAGAACGAGATGTCATGATAACTGCCATTCTCTCCTGTGGGTGACATTGAAACACCATCAAGTCAAAGCTGGAAACACCTATTATGCTTCACACAGTTGCCTGCGAATCAATTGTCTTGGCAATCTCTTCTATGCTATTACAGCCTACAAGTTCAAGGCATACAATATAATTTAAAGGATTATTTTCGTAAAAGGAAAAGCAGCATTTGTGTAAGAGGGAAGACATCATTGTTACACTCAAAAAAATGATATGTTGGCTTTACTTAACTTTTTTTTGTAAACAGGTTCCACCGGTTCCACATAACTATGTTTCGTTAAACAAACATAATATGTTCATGTAACTTCAACATCATGGAATTTGGTCATTTTAAGCGACCCAATTAAACTCTGAGCTAATGAGTTAATTAAGTGAATAATTGAGTGATGATTGAGCATTATTGAAGACACCTGATGTTAACAAGCAGAATCTCTGAAGGAGAAAACCGGAATGTTTAAGTCACCATTATGGAGATAAGTATTTGTTTTAGTTGGGCTCTTGACCATTAACTTATTAACTTTAGATTTTGTTTGGTTGTTGTACATGAGTTATAACAGCCGGAAGAACATTAAACAAAGGTCATCTGATGGTATTGGTTGTGTTTTAACATAATAATTATTTCACAATCATTTGACCTGAGTCACTGAACTTATATTAAACCGAATTTCTGAGTTAAGTTTACCTTATGGATAATAACAGCACTATCATTGTAGAGCATACTATTTTTAGATTTTTCAATGAAATTCAAATAACCAAATCAAGAAATAAAAAAGAAACTTCCTAAAAAATATTTAGAGTAGGCACACACAGACATCAAGAATCAGCATATGAATCTCAGCAATGGTGACAAACAGATCATAAGCTCATTATTTATTCATGCAGCAATGCATGATAGGAGCCATGAATGAGTTTTGATTGGTGGCACCCAGAATGCACTACAACATGTTTATAATTGTCACCATTGGTGAGATTTACAGGCTGATTCTTGATGTCTGTGTGTGTCTACTAAAGATATTTTTTAGGAAGTTTCTTTTTTATTTATTGATTTGATCATTTGAATTTCATTGAAAAGTAAAAAAAAAAAATAGTATGCTCTACAATGACAGTGCTGTTATTATCCATAAGGTAAACTTAACTCAGAAATTCGGTTTAATATAAGTTCAGTGACTCAGGTCAAATGATTGTGAAATAATGATTATGTTAAAACACAACCAATACCATCAGATGACCTTTGTTTATTGTTCATCCGGCTGTTATAACTCATGTACAGCAACCAAAAAATCTAAAGTTAATAAGTTAATGGTCAAGAGCCCAACTAAAACAAATACTTATCTCCATAATGGTGACTTAAACATTCCGGTTTTCTCATTCAGAGATTCTGCTTGTTAACATCAGGTGTCTTCAATAATGCTCAATCATCACTCAATTATTCACTTAATTATCTCATTAGCTCAGAGTTTAATTGGGTCGCTTAAAATGACCAAATTCCATGATGTTGAAGTTACATGAACATATTATGTTTGTTTAACGAAACATAGTTATGTGGAACCGGTGGAACCTGTTTACAAAAAAAAGTTAAGTAAAGCCAACATATCATTTTTTTGAGTGACAGCAATTAGAATTAAATGTAAAACACTCTTTTCATACGTCAGATTTAGTAACTGTCATCACAACGTGTGTAACATTAAACATTTACACTTCTGTGATGAACTGCTTCTCTTTTTAATAGTCTCTCGTGCCATGAAACCTCTACAGAATTGGATGAGACATTAATTATGTACATAATGGAGCCTCCGCCAGTGATGAGGACTGTATCTGTGAACATTTGAGAAATTACTTTCTTTGCCGCCAGTAGAACCATTTGCCAGTTTATATGCTGCGATTAAAATGAGATAATAATAAAAAAAACTTTAATCTAATGAGGCACATGAAATGACTAGCTAAACAGTAAGAGAAAGGAGTTGTGGTGACACATATATATATATATATATATATATATATATATATATATATATATGAAATGTGTTACACACATTAAATGCAACTATATGCTAGACTCATTAATATGGCCATGAACAAATGTAATACTCAGTATTTAGCCTAAAGTAAATGTATATTCATATGTGTATATCTGTGTAAAGTGAGAAATGAGTCTGGATATAGACATTATTGAAAGAATATAAATGTGTGCAGCAGCTGCACAATAAAATCGGACATAAAATGGGCTTAAGTTGTGTGTGTTGAGCATCTTACCTTCATAAATCCTCCAGAGTCCGGAGTGAGAGCTGCTGTATTCCAGGCTGGAGTTCGTCCCTTTATCCACATCTATAATGTACCAGTAATCAGTGGCGATGGACACGGCGAGCAGGATGAAACTGAGCAGCCCACACAGACCCGCACTGACTACCACTGTCCCAAAGTTCATTTTCATCAGCGCTCGAATCCCTCTTATGATTCAGTGAATTTGAGCACCTGTAACTGCCATTTAGTTCCTCTAAAGCCCAGAGTGTTTCGTTCAGACACAGTAAAGCACATCATTCTGTCTTTTTTATTCCAGTTGTGTCCAGGGTGAAGGAAGAATCAGCTCTCACCACATGCTGGATGAAAAAACTCTGTGATTTTCCTCAGCATCTCTCCTGCACAGCTGTATATGGAGTGAGAGCGGAAGCCTCTGAACACTGCATCTATATGATTCTCTCACCTCAGTTTCAGCTGCGATCACTCACTGTGGTTCATTTGCTCACCTCAGCGACAAGGTTGTTTCTTCTCCATGTTGTGTAAATAGATTACTCTGTATATAGTGGCCTGTATCTTTTGTTAACCTGGCTTGATTTTGTCAGGAGAGAGAACATTCCTCATTTCAACAGGTGAGAAAAAATGCACGCAAAAAATAATATCTATTTTTTTCATTTCCAGTACTGATATCGTACTCGGTTACTATCGTAACCTCGGTTCCCTGAGAGTAGGGAACGAGTATTGCGTAGCTATACGCAGTGGGGAAACTCCTTTCCTCGGATTTATTGAAGCTTATATGTAAAACGCATTGCAACTGCACAGTGAGCACAGAGACTGACTGACTCACTGATTGGCTGTGCTGCAGCAACTGCATATCCAATGGCGAAGGCGCCTCTGACGTGTGCACCAATCAGCTATCAGCGCGTAGACACCAGCCTATAAAGGGAACCCAAATTCGCCTTTATAGCTGGTTTAAATCGACTGAAGCGACAACTTGCCATGTTACTACTTGTTACCAGGCTACCCAATACTCGTTCACTAATCTCAGGGAACCGAGGTTACGATAGTAACCAAGTATGTTCCCTTTCGAGAACAGTCACTTCGTATTGTGCAGCTATACGCAGTGGGGACGCAATGTAAAACACTGCACCATAAGTAACTGGCTGCAACTGAAGCCCAGGACCTCTGGGCTCACAGAAACAAGCCAGAATTCACATATACTGTATATGACACCGTCGGATCTAAATCATATATATAGTGATGTCACTAAGCTCGTACCCCAAAATAATATACTAATAGACCGGATACCCTCGGGTCTGATTATATATATGGGCAAAAAACAGCCAAAGCTGGTTTATAGCTAGGGATAGTTTGCTTATTAACAGTGACCTGACACATAGACGAGACCGGACCTCGCCGAGTCTAATCATACAGAAAGGACCTTCGCCTGCAGGGAAGGGACCTCCATATTATAGAACCTCACAAATGTGGAGGGCGAGGACCAATCGGCCGTCGCACAAATGTCCTGAATATGAAACCAAGAGGACCACGCCCATGACGAGGCCATACCTCTAGTCGAATGGGCTCTAGTGCCTATAGGGCAAACCTGACCCACCGAGGCGTATGCCAAAGAGATGGCATCCACTATCCATCTGGACAACCTATGCTTCGTGACTGGAGATCCTTTGGATCGGCCACCGAAGCAGACAAAGAGCTGTTCTGACTGTCCATAGGATGCAGAGCGCTCCAAATAGACCTTCAAAGCTCTAACAGGGCAAAGTAGATTAGCCTCCCCATCCTCACCGGAAGGGGGAGAGCTAATAGTGTAATAACCTGTGCTCTAAACGGTGTTGAGAGCACCTTAGGGACATAGCCATGTCTAGGTTTGAGAGTAAATTTGGAGTTACCTATATTCCAAACTCCAAACTTGAGGGGCTCACAGAGAGCGCCTGCAGATCTCCCACTCGCTTGATGGACGCCAGTGCCAGCAGGAGAGCAGTCTTTAGAGAAAGTGGTTTAAGATAAACCGACTGAAGCGGCTCAAATGGAGGACCCTTCAGGGCCCCAAGGACCGTGGAGAGGTCCCAAGATGGTACAGAAGGAGGCCTGGAAGGGTTCATCCTCCTGGCCCCCTTAGAGAACCGTATGACCAAGTAATTTCTTCCTAGTGATTGGCCAGCCACTGTAGCATGATAAGCTGCTATGGCTGCCACATATACTTTGAGTGTGGACGGGGAATGACCCGCGTCTAACAACTCTTGTAGGAAGGAGAGAATCACTGATACCTCTCATGACTGAGGTTCAAAGTGTCTAACATAGCACCAGCCGGAGAACACTGACCATTTTAGGGCATAGAGACGCCTGGTAGACGGGGCTCTAGCCTCAATAATCGTGTTCATGACCTTCACAGGAAGGTTGAGGGGCTTTCGCCTTTCGCCTGTGTGAGGAGATCTCTCCTCAGTGGGACAGGCCATGAGACTTTGTCCACCATCTGAACCAGCTCTGGAAACCACGGTCTGGACTTCCAGAGGGGGGCCACTAGGAGGACTGGGTATCCCAGTTCCCTGACCCAGTTTGATGACCTAGGGGATGCACGGGCTGGCAATCGGCGTTTGAGCCAGTGCTGAAGCGGGTGCATATGCAGTAGTCCCATATTGAGTACTGGCGATGCGGCTGCCATGAGACAGAGAGTTTTCTGAAACTTTCTGAGGGGTATGCGCACACCTGCTTTGAAGGAGGCTCTTAGCTGTTGTATAGTATACATAGATACATATAGATATAGTTTTATATAGATATGTTGTATAGTATACATAGATAATAATGGTGTCACCGAAATTAAGTCACAATCTCAAACTTCGAATTAAAAAATGGAATCGTCGATGCTACCACGCCCCCATGTCACGTCCGGTCGGGTAGCCAAGCGGAAAAAAACACGCGTGTTGAAATGCTGCGAGTCAACCTCCTCTAACTTAGCTACAGCCAGTCAAAAGATAGCATGGCAACTGCAGATGCAGGTGGAAATCCGGGTGCATATGCAGTAATCCCATATTGAGTACTGGCGATGCGGCTGCCATGAGACCGAAAAGTCTAGTCTAAAAATGGCATAGCAACCTGTGCTTTAAAAAAAAAAAAACAGTAAAAATCGAGAATAGAATCGAACCGTGACCTTAGAATAGAAAATTAAATCGAATCGAAGATTTGGAAAATCGTGACACCCCTAATAGTTACATATAGATACATAGTCGTAGAGTCGATAACTGTGCCCAGAAAGATCACAGTCTGGCTAGGGGTTAGTTTGCTCTTGGACAAATTGATTTTGAGCCCCAGGCATTCGAAATGGCCGAGGATCAAATCTCTGTGCATCAATAGTTCGGCTCGCGACTGCGCAAGAACCAGCCAGTCATCGAGATAATTCAGCATGTGCACTCCCCAGAGTCTCAGGGGAGAAAGGGCCGTGTCCATGCACTTCGTAAATGTACGGGTGCTAGGGACATACCGAACGGCAGAACTGTCTATTGATAAGAGTGCCCCTCGAAGGCGAATCTCAAGAATGGCCTGTGATGGGGGCTATCTGGATGTGAAAGTATGTGTCTTTCAGATCCACAGTGAAAAACCAATCCCCTGGGCGAACTTGTGCGAGGATTTGTCTGATAGTCAACATTCTGAACGTCTGTCTCATGAGAGCTTTGTTCAGATGCCTTAAAGGGTTAGTTCACCCAAAAATGAAAATTATGTCATTAATGACTCACCCTCATGTCGTTCCAAGCCCGTAAGACCTCCGTTCATCTTCGGAACACAGTTTAAGATATTTTAGATTTAGTCCGAGACTTTTCTGTCCCTCCATTGAAAATGTGTACGGTATACTGTCCTTGCCCAGAAAGAAAATAAAGACATCAAAGTAGTCCATGTGACATCAGTGGGTTAGTTAGAATGTTTTGAAGCATCGAAAATACATTTTGGTCCAAAAATAACAAAAACGTCTCGGTTACGTATGGTAACCCTCGTTCCCTGAGTAGGGAACGGAGACGTCTCGTCGGAGGAGTTTCCAACGAATTGGGATCACGCTAGGGAGACCAATTGCCTTCGAGTGAATTAAAACAAGCCAATGAATATTGGCATGCAAGACTTGCATTCCGCGCCCCGCCTGCCAGTGCGGGTATAAAGCGGAAGCGAGCGCACACACATATGCTTTACGCTGAGGAGCCGGACGGTGTCCAGTCCTCCGCGAAGGTACATCAAGCATGGCGACGGGACGAGACGTCTCCGTTCCCTACTCAGGGACCGAGACGTTCCCTTTCGTTAGGGAACTCCTAAGTCTTATCGGAGGAGTTTCCAACGAATTGGGATCCCTAATAAAACGCCATGGTGCTGGCCCCTTCCAGCGCCCAGCCTAGCTACCCGCCTAAGCAGTTTCTAAGTTTCTTTACGGCGGGAGCTAGCTAGGAAGAGTCACACTGCTGTTCCGCAAGACCCGCTCAGTGGACTTTGGATAACACTGGGGAAGCGTGCCCTGTAGGAGGGGACGCTGCGGAGCCCCTGCCCGCCTGAAGGGAGGCACTGGAATAAACGTATGTACTAACCCGTAGGGTAGTGAAACATACGGCAGTCCTTGAGGTAGTCCCAGCCCGAGGGGTGGGAGCGTACTCAGCAAGGACGACAGAACGGGTCTGTCGAGGGGAAGACACGGAGCTAACCCGGAGGGTAGCTGGAACGTGGAAAAAATGGGTCACCGAAGGGACCACTGTAAGGCCACCCAGTCTAATAACAACTCACACGAGAGGTAGTAGACCTGGCGCCGGGCGATCCGCCTCGCCTGGCGCCAGAGGGGTGATGGAGGAACTCACGAGGTTAACCGTTTGTTGGGGAACCAACGGAGCGAAAAAGACGCACGTATCCGGCCCCTGGGGCGGGAATGGCGTAGCAAGCCGACATACCTAATTCCTCGCGCTACTGGCTGTAGCGAGTACACGGGAGGAAACCGGTACAACACGGAGGCTATAAAATCTAGCGAACGTGTTAGGTGTCGCCCAGCCCGCAGCTCTACAGATGTCTTTTTTTTTTTTTTTTTGCCCGACCACCACCCCCCCGTCTTCGGAGGTCAACTTTATTTTTATTCATATAATGGTTTTAGAGAAAATGTCAACGTTGAGGGATATATAACGTAGAGTCATAATATAGAGACAGGGAGGTACACATACAAACGGTCAGATAGACACACGGCCAGACGGACAAACAAGCAGATAGACAGACAAACAGACAAAGCTAATATATTTTGGGGGGGGGGGGGGGGGGGGTAAAAGGGAAAGCACGTGGTTTACATTAACTGTTGAATTTGTAAAAAAGTTATGAGGGGATTCCAGGTTTCTTTAAAGGCAGATATATTGTTCTTTTTATGAGCTATGGTTTCTTCTGTCAAAATAAAGTCTGTAATTAAATTAATCCAGTGGGTGAAATGGTAAGATGATTTCGATTTCCAGTTTTGAAAGATTATTTTTTTAGCGACTGCTAGAGAAACAAGGACTGGGGTTTTGTATTTGGAAGGGATAGAGCTATCTGAAGTATCTCCTAGGAGACAGAGTGCAGCCGATAGTGGGACTTACCCACCTTCACCACGTATTTGAAAATCACAAATTTATGCCCTTCACC